GAAGCCGACGACGACAGGGCATAGAAGACGCGTAATTACGCCCAAGCTCTGTGCTCCCTGAACGCAAAACGCGCTCATTGAGGGAATTGAAAGAGAAAAGTGTGTCGCCGAGGCCTTCCTCTTTGAGCCGTGTCATCTTTTTACGGCGCGCTTTTCAGACTTTACGGAAATGCGCGCGCAAACTAGAGAGTGCGCTGCTCTGCTCTGCGCCTTTTGCTGTCGGCAAACGACTTGAAGCTACGAAAAAGGTAAGGAGGAAGAGAAAGGTAGGAAGGAGGGGGGGGGGTGTCCTTTCCCTATCTGCATTAATTAAATCTCCGTGTTCCTTTTCACCTGTGCGACAAGCAAACGCGGGACGGTTTCCCGACAACGACACCGGACAGTGGAGCGGGGCGGGGCGGGGCGGGAGCAGCGCCCAAGCACTCCTCCAGGGGGCTCTAATCGCCCGATTCAATTATATACGCCGGAAATTAGCAGGGCTCGAGTCGACGCTCTCTTTGAAAGGGCGGAGCGAGCGAGCTCTCCGGCTCCTGGAGGAGAACTGCCGAGGGGTGAAGAGGGGCGGAGAAAGGGGAGCGGGGGCTCTAGCTCAGTGTCCAGCTTCAGGCGATAGCCTTGGTTTTGTATTCATGGATTCGGAGACATAGTTTTACAGAAGATCTGGGGCCTTATTGTTTATATCTTATTTCTCCTCAAAGTATCCACGGTAGAAAAGATTATTAGCCAAAGTATTTCATCACTTCCGAAAGTTAATTTATGAACGTGATATAGTAGTAACATTTAACGACAGTTCGGTAGCTACACTCTATCAATTCCAGAACCTGTACATTGCATACATTTGTTTGGCTCATTAATGCTATGTGCCCTGAAAAAGAAATGCACAGACATGTTTGGTTTACTGGATATGCTGTACCGCATGGCAGGCGTGCGGATGGGTTGCATACTCGCACGGGGCCATATAAGGCACAGTGGTGAGGGTCGTGAGAGGCGAGTCCGCCCGCACGCCTGCGTTTCCAAAACAAGATGCAAAGCCAAAAAAACTAGAAAAAAAAGGTCCTATAGAGATGATGATTATCGTGGTTGAGGTAGAGGTCAGGAGAGAGGGAGAGGGATGGAGTGGGAGGAAGGGGGAGGGGCGGAAAGGG